AGAGTTGGGGCACCCCTGCCCTAGTCCTTTCAGTTCTTGTTTGTCGGGTCTACTTGTTGAATGTCCTCCTTGTTCGCGGCTTTCCTGTGGATTATTAAAGACTGTGTTATTCAAGTATTCCTCGTTTCCTCGTTCCTTGCTCCCCGAGTGAATTGTGACAGTAATAAGCTTTGTAGCGCATCTCGCATGAGGCTGAAAGTGTTGCTGTCTCTATAAAAGGATCATATTTTGAAACCATTCTCCCTTTGTTATAGAGCGCTATGCCTCTGTACCTACTTCTTACTGCATACAACCATTTTTTACACATTATGACTCTCTTGCTTTTCTCTCTTTTTCTCTCTTCTCTCATAATTGTTTTCTTTGTTCTACACAACAACAATACAACTGTTTTCATAGTGTATATTGGAAGGTTACCCTCATTACTGAAGGTATCTGAGAGACTGGATCAACAAGCAGCAAATTATGTAAGAATCAATGTAATGTTTTCTGCGTTCTATAAACCACCATGTACATATATGGTTTACTAAAGAACTAGAGAATACAAGGATCCAATGGAAGAACACAAGAATTAGAGATCCACTGATAAAATGTTGGCTGACAACTCATAAATTCTATATTTTTTGTTTAATCCCTTCTCATTCTTAATGGGCACAATATCCAGAAGACACCAGAACTGAGTTCCTGTAACAAAATAATATCCATAATAGCCATCAGAGTTAATATTCAACATGAACATTCAATATTGACACACATTTATTCACAGGCATTTACTGAGTCTTATATTTAGACCAGACTTTATGTTTAAAATGTAGCATAGATCCATAAATGGCGTGATAAATCATTTTCTGTTTATTAGTTTGTCTAAACCAGAAATAGCTTTGTATCCTAAGTGCTTTGTCTCAGTTGGCTGTACTGCCTTCATTTCCCATGAGCCCCTATTTGACCTTGAGTTACATTGAAAATAGGGAAAAACATTTTTGCAGCTCTAGACTAAGTAGCAAAAGCAGCATAGAAGGACATCTCAAAGTCACTGTCATCTAAAGTGCTTTGTATCCTGTCTGGCAGGAGCATCTCATATGAATCCATTAGATTTTAGCAATTGAATCTAGAGCTGCAACAACTAATTGATGACATTGATAACGAAAAAAAAAACATCTTCCATAATAAAATAATTCAGCTAAATTCAGCTCTTTAATTTTTTACTAATTGTTCTGCTATTAATAATAGTCACTTTTTGCACCAAAAGAAGAAAAACATTTTACACACAATTAGATGTTATATTTAACTAGATAGATGTCATATTTGGTTCCTTATCTCTCTAACCTGATTCTCTGAGCCCAAATTCTGAACACAGAGAGTGTTCAACATGACACAAACATGGTTAAAGATATGTAAATTATCTCTCCATAACATGTTCATCTCCCGTCCTTTTCTTCCTGAGCGGTCTGATTTGTATTTCTCAGCATTTGGTCTTCCCAGAAATTAAATTCTTCGTCTATCCAATTTTCCACTGATATCTGTCAATAACATCCATACATCTATGTGCGTCTCTTTTTATATATATATATATATATATATAAATACTGTATAATT